CTCCTCCTCGCCTGTAGCGGGTTCTTCCTGATTTTCTTCTTCCTCTTCTCCTTCTTTCTTCTCTGGAGGCTTCTCATAAGCTTTCTCAGAAGGTGTCACTATCACTCCATCCCACGTAGACATTTCAGAAGCCAGGTCTGCAAAAACAGGGGTTTGGGGTGACCCAGAGCAGCGGGGACGACCCCCGTCCCCAGGACGTGCAGGGGGAAGCACACACCACTGCTCTGGGGTTGGAGTCACTTCTCGTCAGAGCCCTTTGCTTTCTCCAGCAACGCGGAAAACCAGCCCTGTTACCCCCAGAGACGTCGACAGCTCGTGTGGAGGAAGACCCAGGCGGAGGAAGCCCCACACCTCACACCAGCCCCACTTACAGCTGGCGTCGCCCTCTTGGCCGAGGATTTTCCTGTAGCCTCCGTGAGAGAGGATCCGGACGAGCGTCTGCGCGGTGTAGCACACCATGTCCTGCGGGGACACGGAAGAGTCAGAGCCCGGGCAGGATCTGGTTCCCTCTCCCGCGGCAGATGAGGCAGCTGACCTGCTGTTCAAGGGTCATAACCGTGTGGACTCTGAAGTTTCCACTCTCGCAGGGATCGGTGATACCCACAGATCCAGGGAGGAAGAGCCCCGCGGCCAGAATCTGAAGGCAGCGCCTGCGGGATGAGACATTTTGGGTTAGAAAATAGACCGTTCCAGCACTGAAACGCAGCCAGAAAGTCTGCAATTAGCACATCTACGCGAGGAGTCTGCTTCGTCTCCGGGTCCCTTCAAGGCTGAGATGCCACCGCTTTGATTTGGAACGTTCCAAACTGAGACGGCAACAGGAATTTATACGAGCGAAGCAAAAGGCAACAGACCTGTAGGCGATGTTGAGAGCCAGGGGCTGCCTGGTGGGGTTGTTCATCACGGCGTAGTGCCCCTGAAGAGGTGACACAAAGAAAGGAGGAGTTACAACGAGAGCAGCTTCCCACAAGAATCTTGATCCTGCTGCAGGAGCTACAAGGAGCCGCTTTATGCCAGAACCCAGGGACGCGCAGGCGGC